TAGAAATAATAGGAAACAGAAAACACCAAGATGGAGTCTAAATCTATCAGTAATCATAGTAAATGAGATAAACCTGTTATAAGATTTAGACTCTCAGACTAAATGTTTCTCATCTATTTATGAGAGATACACAAAAAGTAAAGTAATAAAGTGTGCTTTAAAATATAAGGGATATAAGGAACTAGGGAGAGGGAGGAGGACAGGGAAAGAAAAAAACTGGGGAATGATATTGCTAAATGTATTGTTAAATTGTGTGCATGTACAAATATGTAACAAATGATCCCACCATTAAGTACTAACTATAATGTGCCAATAAAAATATGGAAAAAATTAAAACAAATATAAAATATCCTCAGGAGACTGAGGCAGGAAGGTGGCAAGATCAAGGCCAGCCTGGGCAACTTACCAGTACTCCATGTCAAAATAAAAAGGGCTGAGCATGTAGCTCAGTGGAAAAGCATCCCTGAGTTTAACTGGGGACCCCCCCCACACACACACACACAGAAAAAAAAGAAAAAAAGAAAAGAAAGAAAAAAGAATGAAGACTTTTTATTTATAAGTCACACAAGAAATAATGTTATGACTTTGTTTGGCTTTTCTGCACATAACAACATGATTTTTAAATACATGTTACAAAAAACTGAAAGAACAGCAAGGAATAAATTAACAAATCTATAGTCACAGGGGAGATATTTAACATGTACTATTCAGAAGCTGAAAGATAAAATAGGTCAAAAAATTATTGTGCCTGTAAGGATATTTTAATAAAGTAATAATTGAGCTTGGTCTAATAATGCATGTTTTCTAAAGTTGATTTTCCTAGAAGCAGACCCTGAGTATGAGATTTTGGAAAATATGATTTATTGAAGGAGGAAAAAAACACCCTAAGGGAGTGAGGGAAGCAGAACAGAGAAGAGGAAAGTGCTTGGCAAGATCCCAGCTAAAGGTTACTTTTTGTCTGACGTGGAGGGGCAAGGAGGAAGCAACCCTGAAATGCACATCATACTATAGAGTAGTCCTATCTTGAGTCAGAAAAGCCAAACAAAGTCATAGCTAGGAAGGATTCCATCCTTACATGCATCTGAAGTGGACTATCAAAGATTCAAGATAGGTTCAGAGATAATCCCAGCAGCATGAGAGATCAGGATTCCAGTTTTTAAACTCATCAGTACTCTAATTCCCTATTGTCAGCACAAACAACTGACAAAACAGACATGATCCTAGGCTAGGACCAACCCTCAGGAAAAGTTGAGTCCCAGTGTCTGCTCACCTATTATTGATCCATCTATTTGCAGAGACTGCTATTGCTGGGCAGGACAATGGCTCTGATCTGATTACAGAGTCATGTCACACAGAGGATCCCGTAAAAGAAGACTGGAACTCTGCAGAGAGCAGCTGGGGGAAAAGGTTTATAATAAACTAGGGCTCCTTACCAGTTTAAGAATAGATGTACAGAGCTTCAGAAAGTGATTGAGTAACCGTAGAGCCTTGTAGTTTTCCTTGGCTAGAGCCTTCTGCAGATCTTGGAGTTCATAACATCGATCTGGCTCCTGGGGTAGCCAGGACACAGAGTGGAACTCTTGCAGAAGCCTAGAATCCAGGAATAAGCTAATTAGGATAGAATCCCAGCTCTCTCTCTTTACACACCTTTACACACCTTTCCCAGCCCAGCTCACCCCAGGCTGAGAAAATGTTTACAAAGATTGTAATATTTCCAATAAGCAACAGAGACAGCTTCCTCTTCAGAGTTCTCTGGTAGAGTTCAAGCCTAGAGAGTTTCTGGCTAGGAAATTACTTGGAAGAGGCTCAGGGTATGTAAAAATGTTTATACCTAGTGACATCTCTACCAGGAGAGAGGGTCAGATAAGTTCTAAGGTTTAACTCAGAAAGAGACAAAGGGGCTTCTTCCTTGGAATAGGGAAGCTGAAGGCTCCAAAAGTCTACATCAACAAATCAGTTTTAGGATCAAAAGTAATGACCCTGCAAGTCCTCTATAGGCTGACCACCTCTGAGGAAGCCCATTTCTTTTTCCCACTTCTCCCCAGAGAACTCCATATCTCTATACATCCTTGAAAAATATGAAAGGCCCTCAATAAGTAGACAGGATAATCATAACAGGTGTCATTTATTCAGTGCCTACTAAAAGGCATGGAACTTGGTACTTTATAACCACAATTTCATTTAATTCTCATTATAGCTGTGCAAACATAAATCTTTATCCCAGTTTGCAGATCAGGAAACTGAGGCTTAAAGAGTAAAGTCCCTTGCTAGTATTCAGGATCTAAATTCTACCCTCCAAAGTCCTTATGCTTTCAATTACATCAGGAGGACTGGGTAAGACTATAGGATGAAAACTGCCTAGAACAGAGGTTGCAAACTCATAACCAATGGTTCAGATTCATACTGAAAGTTTTTCAATGTGCTCCAGTATGGTGTTTTAATTAAAATTGGAGCCAGAAAGTTAAAATTAAGAAATTTCAATACAAAATGTAGACTTCAGGAAGTCCTGAAAAATAAGGTGGCTGATCATGCTGAACCTATATTCCCAAATGACAATTAGTTGAAACTGAGTAGTGATTGTCCTCTTCAGATGCAATCTCCAGATTCCAGTTCCCCCAAGACTCCCAGTTTCTTCACCTAACCTCTTTACATTTGGCATTCCTTCAATACCTCCTGCTTAGGCTTCATAGCTTTTTGATTCTCCAACTCTTATTACAGAATATGCTTGTGAAAAGTGAAGCATCATGAAGGGAAGGCAAAGAAGTACCAAAAATAAGGATAACCAATATTTTCCCAAAATGAAAGGAATAGAAATAATAGCACTGAAAGAACAAAAAATTTGGATTCAAACATCTGAATTAGACCGCTAGACTTGATATTTAATAGTTGTGTAATATCTGGGACAATATAATATAGAACATGTAATTACATGGAGATATGTTCAGATCATGTTACATATACACTATGTAACATATGATCACATTTGATCACATTTTATATATGTGATAGAAAAAAGACAGGAGGATATGTAATAAAATCATCATAGTGATTATTTAAGGGTGGTAGGATTAGAACTTTATTTTTTTCCTTCATGCTTTTTTGTTTCCATTTTTTCAACAATGAACGTGTTGTTATTTTTTGCCAAAATATTTTTTAAAGGGCTGGGGATATAGCTCGGTTGGTAGAATGCTTGCCTCGCATGGGTAAGATCCTGGGTTCAATCCTCAGCACCACAAAATAATAATAATAATTTTTTAAAAATCCACTGAAGTTGGGTTTTTAAGACTTTACCTGTTAATATGGAGCAGCCCAGCTCCAAAGTGGGGTACAGCCAAAAGCAGTTGATTCCCCAGGAGATTCCGGAGCCGACACAGCCCCTGCAACTTCACATTCTTCTTCCAACTACAAATTACAGGTCAGTAATAATTTACTATTGCTCTCATTCATTTCCCCTCCAAATCCCAGCCCCATCACCACCTACCAGGTTAAAGCTTTGCGCAAGAGGAAATTCTTAAAAAATGGAATGAACTGAAGTTTTTGCCACAGAACAGAGTGGCGGTGCCAGGTACCCAATGTCATCGTTTCACTGCCCTCCACAGGATGTACATGGAGAATCCCAAAGGGAGAAAAGATGTAGTGCTCAGGATTCACTTTGTTTGGTGGCACCACTATCAGATTGTAGGGCCTTTAAAAAATAGCTCTGATTAGTGGGAACCAAAGGGACTTGTATAGATTTTAAGAAGAGACAAGAGAAGGATGGGGAAGATGGGAAAGGAGGCAGAAAGGAAGGCAGAAGACAGGAAGAAGGGAAAAGAGAATGACATTGTTTTTAAACTAAAAAGATGGAACAATATTATCAAGGAATTGAAGCCAAAGATAGATGAAAAGGAAGAAAAACACCATGTAGCTTGTTGCAAGACATTTGTATATCCCAACTCAGATATCTTATATCTAATTTAAGATACCACCAGTTGTAATCTGTAGCATTATTTTATGAGACACTAAGATAAAACAAATGCTTCCAATGTGATACCCTATCAATTTGTAAGACGCACTTCAATTTCAGAGATGTTAAAATGTGAAAAAAATGTCCATCGTAACAGTGGTTACCAGAGCCTGAGAGGGTGTGGGGGAGGAAAGGATAGAGAGAGGATGATTAATGGGTACAGGGATACATTTAGATAGGAGGAATAACTTCTAAAGTTCTATAGCACAATAGGAAAACTACAGGTGACAACTATTAATTTACTATTTCTAAACAGCTAGAAGAGAGGATTTTGAATGTTCTCAACACACACACAAAAAAATGATAAATGATGCCAGGCATGGTAGCTCATGCCTACAATCCTTGTGGTGAGGGAGGCTAAGCCAGGAGGATCACAAGTTCAGAGCTAGCCTCAGCAATTTAGCAAGGCCCTAAACAACTTACTGAGTCCCTGTCTCAAAATAAATTAAAAATGGGCTGGGGATAAGGCTCAGTGGTTGAACACCACTGGGTTACAGAAAGAAGAAAAGAAATGATAAGTAATATTATTTGATAAATGATAAAAATGCCAATTACTCTGATCATTACACACAGTGTATACATAAATTGAAATACCACATTCTACCCCATAAATAGCTAGTTATTATATTGCAATAAAAAATAAAAAATATTGGGACTGGGGATGTGGCTCAAGCAGTAGTGCACTTGCCTGGCATGTGTGAGACGCTGAGTTCAATCCTCAACACCACATAAAAATAAAAAATAAAGGCACTGTGTTCACCTAAAACTAAAAAATAAATATTTTTTAAAAAATAAAAATTAAAAAAAATATTCAGTTGGGAATATAGCTCCATGGTAGAGTGCTTGCCTACTATATGCAAAGGTCAAGGTTTGCTCTCTAGCATTGCAAAATAAAAAGATAAAAAGTTAAAAATTTTAAAAATATTTTTAAATAACTAAGATTAAGATCTGATGAGAGAAAATGAAAGAATGAGTGCCTCAAGTCATGTGGAAGGGGAGAGTTGTTTCATCCCAGAGATAAAACTAGGACCAAAGATAAAAGTTTTAAGAAAGTAGACTTTTATTCAGACTAAAGAGTAGGATGCCCCTAGAAAAAACACAGCTTCCCAGACACTGTTAAGATTTAAACATCTGATTCTTGCACTGGAGTTGAAAGATATCATCATTAAATTTGCTTCTGAGGCTATGATCAAATGTTTCTCCAGTATAGAATAGAATAAAGAAGAGGAAAAAAGTAAGAAAAGGATAACTAAGACAAAATGCTACAGGAGCAAAAGAGGGCAAAGACTGCATGTTTTGTCTCTTGAAATACTTATTAAAGTGCACATAACAGTAAAAAGAAAAAGAAAAAGAAAAAGGGCAAAGAGGAGGTAGAGAATGGAGAGGAGAAGGCTGAACAGAAGAAAGAGGGAAACTGGGAGACAGAGGAAGAGTATGTGGATAAAGAACAGGGAGAGGAATGTACATGGGGAGAAAAAAAGGGGAACTAGATAGCATGGGAGAAAATCAGGGAGTTGGGGATGCAGAAGAGGTCTGGATAAAGGCTCTTACATAAAGTACCGACTGGGAGCCACATTGAGATAGAAGAAGTGGATGCTCTTCAAGTATTTCTCTGAATTCAGAATGGTCATCACCTGGCTACCCAAGAAGGAAGTCTCAGATAAGAAGGCAGTACTTCTCTTTGGTAAGGCCTTCTCCACAGGAACTTCATAGTCAAGTTGAGACCTGAGTTAAAAAAAAAAAAAAAAAAGGAGGGAAAATGCAGAGCAAAGAGGTCAGATACCTAGAGGTGGGCCTTGCTACCGTTGGTCAGTGAAAGGAGGAGCTAGAGGGGATGCGATACGACACTATTAGAGCCTGTCTATCACCTATACAGGTGTCAAATACTGAGAAAATACAGTTTGTTCTATACCTCAGTCATGGAGCTATATTCACATAGACTTGTGCATGATAACCCCTTCCTTTCTGATAAATGAATAATCATTTTGCTTTAAGTGTGATTTCTGTCAACTCAGTATTACATAATACTATGTACAAATAATGGGAAGACTATTCTCCCAACTCATCACCCTATAAGCCTACAGTCCTGGATATCTTCCTTTCAGTCAACCTTGCTAACCTTCTGGATCTTATCTCCTCCCTCTGCTCCCATTGTACCTGCTTTCCAACCCTGCCTGGTCTCCATACTTTTGCTCACTCTTGCTCCTCCCATCATCACTCAAACTCTAGTTTCAGACCTTTTCCTTTCCAGCCAATATCTATGGTGTATTCTTCAACCCCCTCAAGCCATCACCAATACTCTCATCTTATTACCCTCCTACCATACTGGTCAACAAAATTGCTGAGATAAGTCATTCCATGGTTAAAAGTACAATTCTATCTAAAGTTTATATAAATAAATAGGGTTTATGACTTTTGTGTTAGAACATGATATTTTAAATGGAATAACCGCTACTAAAGTTTCATTCTCTTCCACAAGTTTTATTTCCTCAGCAGCTGAAGTCTTACATGATATAGTAGATTGATAGGATCAAAGAACCATAAATATTGACTCCTCTATGAATCTCTAGTATTCAGTTTTGACTGTGGGCTCATTCTACTTTGCTGTCTTAGTACAAGCCATAAGCAGCCACCTCTTTTGGGTTGCTCAATCTTATACCTAACCCCATATCCAGCCCTGCCAACCCCCAGTCCCACACCATTCTTTACTTCCTTCCCCATTTGGAGAAACAGGTTCTGAGCCATGAACTAATACCTTGAATGCCAGTTGCCTTTCCACACACTTATCTGTCCCCCAGTTTGAAAGAAAGAATTACTCTTTCTTCTCTACAAAAGTTTCTCTTTCTAGGCTGGGGCTGTAGCTCAGTGGCAAAGTGCTTGCTTAGCATGTGTGTGGCACTGGATTCCATCCTTAGCACCACATAAAAATAAATTAAAGGCAACTCTGTCCATCTACAAGTATAAAAAAAAAGTTTCTCTTTCTTCTCTACAAGGTTAATTTCTTGATCAATGCTCTGGATCCCTTATACCCGCTCTATGATATATTTTAAAGTTCCTCTTATTATTAAAGAAGCACTTAAAAGTTATAAACTCTCTACTTTTTCAAAAGGAATCCTATGTAGACACCAAAATTCTTTAAAGTTGCTGTTCTACTATCTCATTCTTCAAGAATTTTTTCATGAAAAAATACTAAATCAAGATTTCTACTTCTTCATCTTTCATTCATTCCCAAATGTACTACAATCTGCCTTCCTCCCCACAAAACTCCATTGAGACTTTCTCACTAACATATTCCTACTATTAACCCAATATTTTTCAGATTCTTACTCTTGCCTCCATAGCATTTATTACTACTGACTGCTGCCTCCTTGAAATTTTGTTTCACTTCCTAACCTGCAAGATATTTTGCTAACCTAATCTATTTTGTTAACCAAATTCCTCTGAGGTGCTTTCCCCAAACTGTGTATACAAACACACATCCCAGAGAAGCCACATGAAAGTAGTGGGCTTTTTGTTTTATATTTATAATTTTTAGTTATAGTTTATTTATATTAAAGTGTCTATATGTATAACACTGGGCATAGTGGCACACATCTGTAATCCCAGGGACTCAAGGCTACAGCTGAAGAATCTAAAGTTCGAGGCCAATCTCAGCAATATAGCAAAATCCTCAGCAACTTAGTGAAACCTTGTCTTAAAATTAAAAGGTCTGGGGATATAGCTCAGTGGCACCCAGCTCCTGGGTTCAATCCCCAATATCAAATATAAAAAAGATATCTATATCTATCTCCCTAAATAAACTGTAAGACTCCAAGGGAAAGTCTTGTTCACTTCTTATGTGCCCAGCAACCTAGCAGTTTCTGATATATATATATATATCCAATAATACTATAAAATGAATGAATGAATGGGAAGCCAGCCCTGCAAAACTTAATGTAAATTAAGCTGTATTAGCTAGATAGAGGTTTACCACCAGGTTCCAAGAGAGGGAGAAGAACCTGATCACGTCTCAACATCTTAGACTACTGCCATTTCAGTTAAGGTTCCCAAGGAAAGAAAATTCATATTTAGGGCACAGGAAAGCTCTTTGTAAAAGCAAAAGAGCCTACTGGGGCTATTAAAGGCATAAATTATTGTCACTGGCTATCTTGCATCAGGGTTCCAGGAGCCAGCCTATCTGCCCACCATTAGGGCTCTGAGACTTCAGGAAAAACTTGACCTAGCCATAAACTGGATATTTCAGACCAATATCCCTGATGAATATAGATGCAAAAATTCTCAATAAAATTCTGGCAAAACGTATTTTAAAAAAACATTTTATACATGTTATTTCTGACAAAAACATATTTTAAAAAACAGTGCACCATGATTGAGTGGGGTTCATTCCAAAGATGCAACGATGGTTCAACATATGCAAATCAATAAATGCAATTCATCACATCAATAAACTTAGAAGTAAGAATCATATGCTTATATCAATTGATGCAGAGAAAGCATTTGACAAAGTACAGCACTCTTTCATGTTCAAAACACTAGAAAAACTAGGTATAGTAGGAACATACCTCAACATTGTAAAAGCTATCTTGTTAAATCCAAGGCCAACATTATTCTAAATGGAGAAAAACTGGAAGCATTCCCTCTAAAAAACTGGAACAAGACAGGGATGCCCTCTTTCAACACTTCTATTCACATAGTCCTTAAAACTCCAGCTAGAGTAATTAGACAGACGAAAGTAATTAAAGGGATAAAAATAGGAAAAGAATAACTCAACTAACATTATTTGCTGATGACATGATTCTGTACTTAGAGGATCCGAAAAACTCTATCAGAAAACTTCTAGAATTAATAGATGAATTCAGCAAATTAACAGGATATAAAATCAATACCGATAAATCAAATACATTTTTATACATTGGTGGTGAATCCTCTGAAAGAGAAACTAGGAAAACTACTCCATTCACATTAGCCACAAATAAATAAATAAATAAAATACTTGGGAATCGATTTAACAAAAGAGGTGAAAGACCTCTATAATGAAAACTACAGAACACTAAAGAAAGAAATTGGATAACATCTTAGAAGATGGTAAGATCTCCCAAGCTCTTGGATAGGCAAAATTAATATTGCCAAAATGGCCACACTACCCAAAGCACTATACAGATTCAATGTGATTCCAATTAAAATCCCAATGTCATTCTTTATAGAAATAGAAAAAGTAATCATGAAAATCATTTGGAAAAATAAGAGACCCAGAATAGCTAAAACAATTCTTAACAAGAAGAGTGAAGCAGGAGGTATTACAATACCACACCTTAAACTATACTACAAGGCTATAGTAACAAAAATGGCATAGTATTGGCACCAAAAGAGGCATGTAGACCAATGGTACAGGTTAGAAGACAGAGAGAAAAACTCACATAAATACAGTTATCTCATACAAGACAAAGGCATCAAAAACATACTTTGGATAAAAGATAGCCTCTTCAACAATTGTTGTTGGGAAATATGGAAAGCCATATGCAGCAAAATGATACTAAGGCCCTATCTCTCACCATGCACAAGACTCAACTCAAAGTGGATCAAGGACCTAGGAATTAGACCAGAGACCTGCACCTAATAGAGGAAAAAGTAGGCCCAAATCTCCTTCATGTCAGATTAGGCCCCGACTTCCTTAACAAGACTCCTAAAGTGCAAGAAATAAAATCAAGAATCAATAAATAGGATAGATTCAAACTAAAAAGCTTCTTCTCAGCAAAAGAAACAATCAATGAGGTGAAGAAAGAGCCTGCATTTTGGGAGCAAATTTTTGCCACATGCACATCAGATAGAGCAGTAATCTCTATGATATATAAAGAACTCAAAAAACTTAACACCAAAAAGCAAACAATCCCACTCAATAAATGGGTTAAGGAGCTGAACAGACACTTCTCAGAAGAAGATAGACAATCAATCAACAAATATATGAAAAAATGTTCAGCATCTCTAGTAATTAGAGAACTGCAAATCAAAACTACTCTAAGGTTTCATCTCATGCCAGTTATCAAGAATGGCAGTTATCAAGAATACAGACAACAATAAGTGTTAGTGAGGATGTGGGGGGAAAGGCACACTCATACATTGCTGGTAAGACTGAAAATAGGTGCAACTAATCTGGAAAGTTGTATGGAGATTCCTTAGAAAACTTGGAATGTAACCACCATTTGATTCAGCTGTCCCATTCCTCCGTCTGTACCCAAAGGACTTAAAACAGCATATTTTAGTAACAGAGCCACATCAATGTCTATAGCAGCTCAATTCATAGTAGCTAAACTGTGGAACCAGCCTAGATGCTCTTCAATAGATGAATGGTACATATGAACATAATAATGAACTTTGGTACATAATGAACTTTGGTACATATACACAGTGGAATATTGCTCAGCATTAAAAGAGAATAAAATTATGGCATTTGCAGGTAAATTGATGGAGTTGGAGAATATCATCTAAGCGAAGTAAGCCAATCCCAAAAAAACAAAGGCTGAATGTTCTCTCTGATAAGTGGATGCTGATCCATAATGGGGGGGAGACATAGGAAAAATAGAGAAACTTTGATTGGGTAAAGGCGAGGGAGGGGAAGGGAGGGGGTATGGTGGCAGGAAAGATGGTGGAATGTGATGGATATTATTACCCTAGGTACATGTATGACTGCACATGTGGTGCAATGCTACATCATGTGCAATCAGAGAAATGAAAAGTTGTGCTGCAATTGTGTACAATGAATCAAAATGCATTCTTCTGTCATATATACCTAATTAAAATAAATAAAATTAAAAACAAACAAACCAAAAGCTGAATGTTCTCTCTGATAAGTGGATGTTAATCCATAATGGGTGGGGGGAATGGAGAAAAATTGACAAGCCAAAGCGGGGGAAGAGGCATGGGAGCAGGAAAGAAGGTGAGATGAGATGGACATCATTACCCTAGGTACATGTGTGACTGAACATATGATGCAATGCTACATTGTGTGAAACCAGAGAAATTAAAAGTTGTGCTGCAATTGTGTACAATGATTCAAAATTTGCATTCTTCTGTCATATATAACTAATTAGAATAAATAAATTATTTTTAAAAAGAAATTAACTCATTTGAAGAAAAAAAACAGGTAAAAACTAGCCTTTTCCTAGATAGTGAAGGTGTCATAGAAAAGCTACAAAATACCTAGAAAATTAAGCCAGAGGACCGAGAGAAATTCCAAGACTAAAGGTAAAGAACTCTCAGAAGAGTTCTTTGTAGATATTCTGAAATCCTAAAGAGAGCTCTCATAGTCAGATTTTGGTGGGAAAAATCATTCTAGGGGCTAGAAAATCCAGATTGGAAGGGCAGGAGGAAGACTCTGGAAGAGTTGGCATGAAATCCCCTCCAGTGGCCTCCTTCCACCCTCTGCCTTGTAGAGCATTTAGCTCACACAGATCTGTAGGGAAGGCCACTCCCACAAGCACTCCCTAGGAGTATCCTAAGGATCCTAAACCTATGGTCTAGAACCCAACACAAGGTATGCCCAGAAGCAAGGCTCAGTGATTATTAATGAATGAGAACAAGAACTAAGGATGTTTCTGGCACCATCTGAGAAATAAAGTCTGGAAACTGGAAGGTCAAACTGTTTTCTTAACCTTTGGCTTCCAAATGGCAGACTTCTGATTTTAATTTCTACATTTCCCTGTGAGGATTAACATTGAGACACTGAGTTTATTTTGCTATCAAAAAGGAAAAAGAAGAAACCTCACACTAGCATGGGGTCAGGCTAATCCCTAAAATTGATAAACTGACTATAGATATTAAGTAGACCAGCTGGGTGTGGTGGCAAATATCTGTAACTCCAGTGATATGAAAGGCTGAGACGGGAGCACTGCAAGCTGAAGGCCAGCCTCAGCAATTTAGCAAGACCCTGAGGAACTTACTGAGACCTGGTCTCAAAAATTTAAAAAAAAAAATGTTTAAGTGCTGAGGATACAGCTCAGTGGTTAAGCCCCCCCCTCCCCCCGGGGTTCAATCTTCAATCCTCAGTACCGAGAAAAAAAAAAAGTGTAACATTGACTGGACTTAGTGGTACCCATAAATTAAGTTCTTCTTCTCCTCTGCCCAAAGCCCCACTTGGTGATTAACTTACTCAGTCTCTCTTCTTCCATCAGGCTCTTCCTCTGAGATGTCAGCATCACAGGTTTCATACTGTACAGGAATGTCTGTTGCCAGTGCCAAAGGCAGAAGACTGAGACCATCCAGCCAGTTGGCCTCTTCTAGGGCCACCTCAGTACCAACAATACCTAGACAGCGCTGTAACTCAGGCAGTGTCACTGGTCGCAGCCATGTGGCCAATTGCTCCTTTACTTGCTGCCCACCCCACCGGGCCAGCACAAAAGGACAGGCTGAGCATGGGAGCCTTTGATGGATCTTCTTCTGGGGATGGCAGTCAACATGGGAGGCACTATCTAACAGAGAACTGTCTGGGGGAAAAGCCTTTGTTATGGCATCTAACAGGTCCAGGTGGAGTTGGGCTTTCACCCAGGGTGCCCAGCAGTAGAGCTGCTCCAGAAAGGGTAACAAATCAAGGTGACCAACTAGCAACTCACGATATGGAGGCAGCAGTTCCAGTACCCCATGCAGGTAGCACCAAGCTGCAGGGCTACAGTCCTGCAACACAGCTGAGAAGAGACTTTGGAGCTCAGCTAGCAGGAGCTTCAGCACCGTAGGCTGCTCTGAATCCGTCACTGCCTTCGAGAATTGCCTCTGTTTCTTCTGACCAGCCCAGTGTTGTCCTTTGCTGGTAAGGCCACATATAGAGTGCCAAGACTCTTGGGCATCTGATATTACCTCATCAGGAGAGACACCTACCTTCTTCTCTTCCAGGACCAAGAGGAGTTGTGCATTCAACTGCTGTCGAAGTGATCGTGCCCACAGCTCAGGTGGCAACTGCCAGTTCCAGGCTCTCTGCTGCTGACCCTTACCTGAATAGCCCAGCCAGGAGAGGGGCAGGAAAAGGGACCTGAGGCTCTTGGCATAATCAATGGAGCTGGGGGCAAAGGGAGGAAGGGACCTAGGACCCTAAGATGGAGCTGCAGAAGGTCATTCCTAAGCCTCAGTCCCTCCATACAGCTTCCCCAAAGATTGCTAAGAAGAAAACCCAGGTCAGAGGTGGGAGCCCTCCCTGTACAAGTTTCTCCCCACCTCCAAGTGCCTTGTCCCCCTCACCTGGTATAGGAGGTGAAGGAAAGGAAGAGTGCCAAATCTGCTGATGAGGTTTCATTGGGGAGCACCTGCTGCATAAATGGATGATCTTAGATTTGGGTCCCTGGCATGGGATCACCCTAACCACAGCCACTCCCACACAGATTGGCGCACACACGTGCAATCCCTTGAAGAGGCAAACTGATGATAGAGCTTTCAGAGAACTTCAATCACAGCAAGGAACCTTCTTGCAGAGTGAAGGCTGGTAATCTCCTGAAAGGAGGAAATAGTCGTCACTTTGATGCATCAAAGCCCTAATTCACCAGATATCTTTGCCCACAGGCTGAGAATATGCTGAGGACGGAAAGCCAAGGAGCAGTGAACTGCTCTGTCAGGATGCGGTAGGGAAACCCATAGGAAGAAGGAGCAAGAAGTGGGCTAAAAGACCAAGGCGGAGGAAGTTGGACTCCTGGGAATGTGTGGGAGGGGGTCCTACTGGGTACAGGGGCAACAGCTCTGTTCTTGGAGAACCAAGATAAACGGATTCCACAGCCAGGGTCCCACCCACAGCTCCTTCCGCTCGCAGCTGTTAGAACCGTTAGAGGACCTCGAGAGGCCAGAGCCAGAAAGAAGAACCTGGGAGAAGGCGGACTGAGCCCAGGGGCTGAACCAGGACGGCACCTGAGCCAAACCTGCCCGTGGCTGCTTGCCTGAGGACCTGCTTGGCTTTGAAATAGAATGACTCGATTGATTGGGGGACTAAAATTCCTGAGTGTGTGGAGCGCAGGTGTAATCCATGTGGCCGTTTTATTGAACATCTAAATTACTGTCAGGTCCCGGGAAGGTATGCCTTGGGACTTCCTCCCTTCATCCCTTCAACTACATAACATCTGCTCCATCCCACCTCCCAAAGAGAAACACTACTAAGCAAAACCTTTGATCTTAAAGTGCTCCAAATTTAGTTGGGGGCTGGGAATACAGCAGTAGCTGATTTTAAAAATTCAACTGAATGATTTAAAAAAATTTTCCTGGTTCTCAGGCTAGTGGACAATACATTGTAGGACTTCTCAGGCTATGGTTCTTTTTCTCTGGAGAATCTTCACCAATATACAAGTTTTCTGTGGCTATGTATCAAATTATCACAAAACAAGCAGCTTAATAAAATATGCTGGGTGTGGTGGTGCAGGCCTGTAATCTCAGCAATTTAGAGCCTGGGCTCAAGAATTCAGATTCAAAGCCAGCCTCAGGAATTTAGGGAGACCCTGTCTCAAAGTTTTAAAAAATAATAAAAAGAACTAGGGATGTAGCTCAGTGGTAGAGTGTTCCTAGGCTCAATCTCCAGTACCACAAGCAAGACAAAACATAAAAACAAAAACAAGACCCATGTAGTATCTCACAGATCTCTAGCATGACTTGACTGGGTTCTCTGATTTATCATAAATCTGAAATCAAGATACTGACTGGGCTGAGTTTTCACATGGATGATCTGAGGAAAGAATCCACTTCTAAGCTCATTCTTCTTAATTTGGACTCATTTTCTTACAGTTCTAAGAATAAAGTCTTTATTGGCTATTAGCCAGGGGAAGCTCTCAGGTCCAGAGGCCACCTTCCTTCCTTACTACATAATCCCTCCATCTTCAAGACAGCAACGGAGCCTCAAAACCTTTTGATGTTTCACATTTTTCTGATATCCTTTTCTACAGTCAGTCAAGGAACACTACCTGCTATTAAAGGGCTGGTATGCTTAGGTCAGCACACTCAGAAAATCTCCCTTCTTATAGTCAACTATACCATAAAATGTAACCTAATCACAGGAGTAAAATCTGTCATATTCAGAGTTCCAGGGAACATGCAGGGTGTGTACACTGGAGGCAAGAAATTTGAGGGACCATCTTAAAATTCTATACATATGCTATAATAAAAAGATCCAAAATACATCAGCTTAAATATGATGCTTACTTTTTTTCTATCATGTAACTGTTCAAGGGTAAGTACTCCAGGGCTAACATGGTAGTCTTTTATTTGTTCTGCTTTCTCCAAGAAAATAGTCCTTGTCTTCAAGGTCCAAGAGAATATACCACTATGTCTGCTGGGGCCCATCCCAACCAGTGAGATGAAGGGAAAGAGAAAAAAGGCATATTCTTTTCTAAAAGGGTTTAGCCAGGCAATTGCACCCATCACTCAATCACATGGCCATTCTTAGCTGCAAGTAAAGCTACCAAATCTAATTTTTGTTTTCAGTGGTATATGCCCAAGTAAAATTTGGTGCTTCTATTAGTAAAGAAAGAAGGGGGAAGTGGATACTGGGAAATAACCATTGGCTTTTATGCCACTAGTAGAACAGTAAAAGCATGAATACTCTTCCTTCTACATGTTCTCAGGGCTTACTTCCTCAAGTCTCTGCTTAAATACTACCATATTAATGAGTTCTTCACTTACAACCCAGTGGAAACACTTTTCTCTATATCCTTATCTCCTTATCCTGAATTGTTTTTCCCCAGAGCACCTACTATCATCACATATAAATACTTAAATTTGCCTGCTATCTATTTGCTCTGACTAGAAGCATAAGCTCTATAGTGGCAGAGATTGATTGCTCCTTGTTCTCTCCCTGATATCTAGTGCTAGGCACCATAAGTAGGCAATAAAAATATTTATGGAAAAAATGCATAAATGCATAACAATCTTCATTAGTGATTAAGATAGACTATGGGGTCAGATTGCCTGAATTAAAATCCTAATTTCATACAGATAACCAATAAATATATGAAAAAATATCCCACATCTTTAGCCATCAGGAAAATGCAAATCAAAACTATATTGCAGTTCTATTTCACCCCAATTAGAATAACTATCATTAAGAAACAAAAAACAAATACATAAAACACATGTATGCTGGCAGGAATGTGGGAGGAAAAGCAACTCTATTGGTGAGAATGTAAATTAGCAGATCTACTATGGAAAATCATATGAAGGTTCCTAAAAGACTAAAAATAGAGCTACCATAAATCCAGGTATACTATTTGTTGGTATATACCTGAAGGAATTGTACTCAGTATACAAAAGAGATGCCTGTACACCCATGTTTATCACTGCACTATTCACAATAGCCAACTTATAGAATCTGCCTAGATAACTGTCAGTGGGTGAATGGATATGAAAATGTATATATACACAATGGAATATTATTCAGTCATAAAGAGGAACAAAATCATGTCATATGCAGGGAAAAAGATGGAACTTGTGTTAGTAAGCTTTTCATCACATTGACCAAAATACCCGACAAAAACAACATAGAGGGCTAGGGCTGTAGCTCAGTGGTAAAGCACTTCCCTAGCACATGTGAGGCACTGAGTTCGATCCTCAGCACCACATAAGAATAAATAAAGGTATTGTGTCCATCTACAACTAAAAATTTACTTTAAAAAACAACTTAGAGGAGGAAAAGTTTATTTTGGTCTTATGGTTTCAGAGATTCAGCTGGCCAAGTCCATTGCTCTGGGCCCAAGATAAGGCAGAACAGCATGGAAGTAGGTGTGATGGAGAAGTTTCTCAGCTCATGGCAGCCAGGAAGCAAAGCAAATGAGAAGCCAGAGGACAAGATATAACCCAGGACACATCCCCAGTGACCTATTTTCTCTAGTTATGCTATACCTGCCTACAGTAATCACCGAGTAGTTCATTAAGATTATTAATGGATTAATTCACAGACGAGGTTAAAGCTCTCATAATCTAATCATTTCACCTCTGAACATTCCTGCATTAAGGATCATAATTTCAAAACATGAGCTTTTCAGGGGACATTTCTAGATCTAAACTATAACAGAATTAGAGATGATCATATTAAGCAAAATAAGTCAATCTCAGACAAGTATCACAGTTTTTCTCATACACGGACTCTTACAAACAAAAACACATGAAAGTAAAAGAGGTATTTTTAGGGAAGGGAAAGAGGACTGAAGTTGGAGGAGAAGGATGATAGTAGGGAGGGTGGTTATAATTAAAGCAAATGTATGTGTGAAATATCACAAGGAAACACATTAATTTGTTTAATATGTGCTAATAATTTTAAAAAATTATTATAGAAAACTGAAAAATTCTTATGCAGTTTTATGTCTTGGAAATGAAGATAATAGTAGTGTTTATCTTAAAGTTTCACTGTAAGAATTATATGTTTTAATGTATATAAAATGCTTAGAATAGGCCTTGGTTGATAGACATTGATATTATTGATATGTTTGGTTGTTGTTCATTTTGACAAAATGCTAAACAAGACAAAATAGGAGGGTTCAATTAGGGGATGAATGAGGGCACAGATAAGCCTTCTTAGGAAGGGCAAGGAAGAACCAAATCACAATAAGCTATAGAACTTAAGGCCTTAAATAATAGATGCTTTCCAGACAGACAAGGACAGAAGGGAATTCTTAGTAACCTTTGCCAAGACTACCTAAATTTCTAATTGTTTCTTTTTTCTTTTGTCAATTCATTTTTCTATTCTGTGCAGACTATTTCGAATCTCCATTCTCTCATTTTCCATTTTCTTCTGCTTTATTCTCAGATGATAACTTTATCTCTTATAATAAAAATGATGCTTATCAGTCAGGGTTCTACAGAGAAATAAGGTATTTGTATATATACAGAGATTTATTTAAGGAACTGGCTCGCATGACTATGGGGGCTAGTGAACTCAAATTTGGTTGGGAAGGTCAGCATCCTGGACACTCAGAAGATAATTCTGCAGTTTTTAGGCAAAACTTCTCTAGAAAACTTGAGTTTTGCTCTTAAGGCCTCAATGGAAATGGATAAGGCCAAACCACATCAAGGGTAATCTTTATTTAAATCAACTAATTGTAGAAACTGTAGATGTTAGCCACATCTATAAATAATTACAAAGCAACACCTAGATTAATGCCAAATAACTATAGCCTAGCCAAGTTTACACATAAAACTAGCCATCAAACAAGCTATTTAAAAGAAACTCTCTCAATCTTTCAATACCAAATCAAAAAACTATTTAAATTTGCTCTTAATTATTCCTTCCTCCTTCCTGTCACGAACTAGAGGTACTTCTATGTAAAACCAAATTATATGCCTATGCCTCTACTCACTCAACATATATTTACTAAGCATCAATTAGGTCAGGCACTATTAGGTGTTTGGTGATATCAGTGTAAAAAATAATGACAAATATTCCTGACTTATAGAGTTTATGTTCTAGTATGGAAGGCAGGTAATAAACAACAAACAAAATGAATAACTATATAGTCTGTGAGAAGTGATAAATGCAATAGAAAAAAAATACAGACCAGTTTAAGGAGGTCAGGAATGTCTGAGAGGAGTGTGGATTGCAATTTTAAATAGAAACATCAAAGCAAACTTTAACAAAAAGGTGACATCTGAACAAAGAAATGAAAAAAGGACAGCCTTTCCCCTTTTATCTGATTAATTTATCCTTTGGATCTCAGCTTCAAAATTGCCTCCTGAGAAAAGCTCTCCCTCATCCCACAAACAACACAGTTTGTAATATCATGTTTCCATTACAATATACATCTCTTTTTAACATTTATCATGGTTATGACTACTTTTCCTATATTGACCTTTACATATCTATGCTGTTTCAAGAGAACAACCACTTTATTTATGTCATTCACTTATCTGAAGGGTTTAACCTAGTATATGCAGTCATTCAATACGTGAAATATTTGAACATATGGATATGAGACACATCCAGAAAAAGAGAGTCATGAAGTAGTATGATGTATAAGCACCAAATGAAGTGATCCTTTTATAACCAAGGATAAGAGAATCAAAAACTGAGGAAAGAGGGTTGAAGATGAGGCCAGAGACATCACCTACAAACAGATCAGAGAAAGCCTCAGTTGTGATGCTAAGGAGTATGAATGTCACAAAAGTCATTAAGTAGATCAGTATGATGATAACTTACATTTTAAATAATCACTCTTTGCTAG